GCATCAGCAGGGAAGCAGCAGGGAATCCTCGAGGTGTGTGTGGCACACGAGGCTCACCAAGCTCCTGGCTCGTGATGCACTCGTCAAAAAGTTTAAAGATAAAAGGGGACAACAAGCAGCCCTAGCCAGAGGCACACAGTTAGCCATAACAGCTCTGCTTAGATATTTTTCCTTCGAGTTGGTCAAATGCAGATTCCTAAAGATGATGCATATTCAAACATTCCTTCGAATTTGTTTGTTTACGTGTTCCTGGAATTCTTTAGCTTGGTTCGGTTCCTGGCTTGTGCAGAAATTGCGAATTTTTCCTTTTTTTGAGAGTTGTGTGTCACTTCCTCAGCTGTGTGTCACTTCAGCAGCTGACAGTTATCGATCACATCCTTCCTTTAAATGTTACCTAATCATATAGACAGCTTTGGCTATTTCCACAAAAACTTTAACCAACATTAGCTATTTCACAACTATGTCTATGAGTTGTTCTTATTATTGTCGGTTAGTTACAAAAATGAAAGCATTAGTTGTTATTTGACAGCTACGGTTACTTCTGCAAAAGTAACTCTAATGAAAATTAAAAACTAAAACTGTAATTGAAATTAGGATGCATAACGCATACTTTAATATTTTGCCAAGGCCAAAACTATAATCTGTATTTATCACACTGTCCACAAACTAAAATACCATCCATGAATGATGTTGTGAGAACACAAGCTCCACAGGGGCCACAAAAGCAGTTAAATGTGATGATGAGCTCTACTATATCAAAATCTTCATGATTTTAATAATATTAAATAAGTGCTGTTAAATAAATAATTATTAGAGGAATAATTATGAAATACGAAATAAATTATTATTAAAGAAATAAATAGTATTAAATTAATTAAATTAGTATTAAATAAATATTAAATAAATACTTATTAAAGAAATAAATAGTATTAAATAAATAATTAAGTAAATATTAAATAAATTATTATTAAATAGTATGAAGTAAATAAGTATTAAATAAATTTTAATAATATAAATAAATGTGATTTTAATCATGATTGTGAAATTAATAATTATGAACAGCCAGTTCATAACAGTGGAAGTTGTAACACTCAGGTGAGGGTTTCATCAGAGCAGGCACGAGGGTTGTCCCCTCCTTGGTGTTCCCAGGATCAGGCAGCATTCCCAGAGGCTGCAGGGCACAGGGACACAGGGATGGGATGAGTGGCACAGCAGAGCTGGCTGTGATGGTTTGGTGGCTCTGTGCTCTTCCCCCCCTGCAGGTGTGGTTCCAGAACCGCAGAGCCAAGTTCCGCCGGAACGAGAGGGCCATGCTGGCCAGCAAGAACGCCTCCCTGCTCAAATCCTACTCAGGGGACGTGACAGCTGTGGAGCAGCCCATAGTGCCCCGGCCTGCCCCGAGACCCACTGACTATCTGTCCTGGGGCACTGCCTCGCCCTACAGGTGAGTGAGGAGCCCCACGGGCTGCTGGACCCCAGAAACTTGGGATTTTGGGGCTTTCTGTGCTTGCTGGCACTGAGCCCCCTGGAGAACACTGCTTTTGGCTGGAGGTGTTGGAGAAAGCTTCCAAATTTAAATGATGGTGTTAGAGTCACGGAATGGAATAGAATGGAATGGAATGGAATGGAATAGAATTTGAATAGAAATGGAATGGGATGGAATAGAATAGGCGTGTCATTTCACATTTTTAAATTTGAGGGTTTTATAATGTAGGAATAGAATAGACTAGAACAGAATAGAATTTGAATAGAAATGGAATGGAATGGAATAGAATAGAATAGAATAGAATAGAATAGAATAGAATAGAATAGAATAGAATAGAATAGAATGGAATGGAATAGAATAGGTGTGTGATTTCACATTTTTAAATTTGAGGGTTTTATAATGTAGGAATAGAATAGACTAGAATAGAGTAGAATTTGAATAGAAATAGAATAGAATTTGAATAGAAATGGAATGGAATGGAATAGAATAGAATAGAATGAAATAGAATAGATGTGTGATTTCACATTTTTAAATTTGAGGGTTTTATAATGTAGGAATAGAATAGAATAGAATAGAATAGAATAGAATAGAATAGAATAGAATAGAATAGAATAGAATAGAATAGAATAGAATGATTTCACATTTTTAAATTTGAGGGTTTTATAATGTAGTAATAGGTATAGGACAAGATGGAGGGTTTTGGATGTTGTCTCTGTCTTCTTCCTTGTTCTTCATGGTTTCAGGCAGTAGTTTCTGGTTGGACAGTTAATGCTGCACTGCGGGTCACAGGAGTTTGGTTTTTGGGTCAGAAGTATAAATAATATAGGTGTTAGTTCCTAATTGGACTGTTTAGCTTTAAAAGACCTTGTAACTAGCTCGATTCAGCTCCATTTTGCTCACTTTTAGCTGATAGCTAGAAGTGTTACAGAACTCTGTACTTTAGATAAGATTTAATAAACAACCAAGCCCAAACGAGAAAATTCATCTCCTTCATGTTTTAAATCCTGACTCTGAGTGAAGACAGAAGAAACTGCAGACAAACCACTGATTAAGTGGTGCAAATACCACCCTTTACAATGGACCATCCCAAAAGTGGCCCTCAGACAGCTCTGATGTATCCACACAGGACAACTGGAGGATACAGCCTGATTATCCCACTGGTTTTCCCCACCTGCTCCCACCCCATCTCGTGTCCAGTTTTGCAGTGTGGCCCTGGCTCAGCATTGTTGTTGGCAGCTTTTCTTTTCTCGGGGTGTCTCTCTCTGCAATCGGGAAATTTCCAAAGAGGCTCAGGTAGAAATAAACGGAAACAGAAAGCTTTTCCTAGTGCATCTGGTTTCTAGCAAGGAGGAAACCTTTCCATGGGGCACAGATCCGGGGGAGGGGATGTCACAGCACTGGGGGAGGCTCAGCCAGTGCACAGTGGCCAGGAGAGGGAGTTGTGTGGCTGTCCCGTGGTTTGGGATGCCAGGAGGGGCCGGGAAGTCCCTCCATCCATGTGGAGCAGTGCTCAGCACTGAGCTGCTGAGCACATTTCTCGCTGTTGCCTGAGCACAAGTTTGTGTGTGTGTGGATGTTGCACTGTGCTTTGCCTGCATTAAGGGCCAGGTGACAGCCTGGCATCCAGTGTCAGCTCCTGTGGCCAGGGCTGCTTAAGGGATGGCAGGAAAGGAGCACGGATGTGGCAAGCCCAGTCTCGGAGGAGCTGGGATGTCCCTGCACATCACAGGCCTCTCTGTGCCATTCCTGGCTCTGCAGGAGCTGGGTGTGGACACAAGATCCACAGGATGTGTTGGTTTGTGAGGAGCCAGCTGGCTCACAGGCAGTTAAAAATGAGCTTGGCGGGTGTTTTTTAGCACAGTGGCTTCATTGTTGGTCAGGACCATGAAGATTTTGGCTGGATTTCTTCCTGTTCATCTGGCCTGGTCACTGCCAGCTTCTCACTGCCTTCCAGGAGCCACACCATGCACAGGACCCCTCTTGCTTGGTCACCTTGACCCTCTTTTTGCTCCCAGTATTGTTTGCACTGTAAGAGCTGCAAACACATGGTCTTCCTGTTTCTTGCTTCAGTTCCATGGGGTCCTCCTCATATCCACCCTGTATCTCCAGAAGAAAGAGTTACATCTATATCTATATCCATCTATATCTTTATATCTGTCTATATCTATAGATCCACCCACTCCAGATATGGAAGAGGATGCTTTTGGTGGCCACCAGCTTCGTCTCAGGAAATGCATTATCCTTTGGATTTTTTTTCTGAGGACTGCTCTCTGTCAAAATCCCTTTTTTTGGGGGGTTAAGGCTTTCTCCCTGTGAAGTGTTCCTTGCTGCAGCATTCTGGGGAGGGGAGATCAGGGAAGGGAAGCGAGTTCCTTCCCCACTCTAGTGAGATTGCACTGGCCACAGCAGCAGATCCCTAGGGAATGCTCATGTAGGGAGCGTTTTTATATTATTATTTCTACCTCTCACACTTTTAAAGAGAGCTCATCCCTCCCAAGATGTTGTTAATCACTGCTAGGAGAAGACCCTGCAAAGGTAACTCCCAAGGGCGCCCTGGCTGCCTGAGGTGTCTGGCAGCAGCTGGGATGTGCTGAGGAGGGCAGGGGAGAAGGGACAGCCTTGGGGATGGCTCTTCAGCCCCTCAGCTCCAGGCTGTGCCTGCCCACACCTTCCCCTTGTCTTGTCTGAAGCCAGGGTGTTTCAGCAAAGGCATTTGCAGCTGACACATCAGAGCAGGCTGGAGTGCCACCATGCAGCACAGCAGCTGCTTTACACACTGTGGGATGCTCAGGAGCCTCAGACCAGGTCTCCTAATCCTCCTGCTCATCTCTTGGCAATCCCATTCACCTGGAAGGGCTGGGCAGTCACAGCCTCATTAAAGCTGTGCAGTAAGGTCATTCACATGTTGGTGAAATCATACTGAAACCCTCCAGCCGTGTTTGCATGGCCCTCTGCCCCCTCCCCATCTTCCCAGCAGTGCTGTAGCAGCCCCTGATTAACAATTAGCAGCTCCTGGGGGAGGGCTGAGAGCTGCACGGCCAGGGCTGCTTTTACTCTTAGATCTGGGGAAAGTTTTCAATGCCCGTGTTTATTCTCCAAATACATTCAGCCACAGGTCAGCCAGAGCTATTTGCAGATCTCTGCTGTCACACAGACAAACCAAGTAGATGCTGTTATTTTTTTGAAGTTGAGAAATGTTTTGCTTGGGCATTTTTTAGCATAGGTTCCTAAGAAAACAAGACTGGCAGCCCTCACTTCCCACTCCAGCAACCTTTGACTCCACGGGCCACTGAAAACCTTATTTGAAAAAAAAAAAATTTTAGGTCTCAGAAACACGATGCTCCTCTGTGCTTCATGAAAGCAGGCAGCTGAGTGAAGGAAGGAGATTTTTCTCTGCCTCAGTGGGGTGGAGGGAGGGGGCAGCAGGGTGACTTCAACCCTTATTAGACCCTGGAGAGCCTCTGGAACAACCCTCAAGCTATTCAGAGCCTTCCTGTGCACTGCTCCCGGTGGAATAACGTGATGAAAGAAAGCACTTCTGGAGATTTTTGGTTTAGCAGGGATTTCACTTGGCATCAATAGGTGAAATCATCTTCCCCACACCTCTGGGGAGCTGGCAGCTCCCAGGAGTTCCAGCCCAGCAACCTGGTTTTGGATGGGGACAGTTTACACCCCTGCCTGAAAACTCCTGTTTTCTCTAGCTTAGAGTACCCTTGGAGGTCTCCAAATTTCTTCCAGCTCAAAAGCAAGGGAGAGATGCACGCTGTGGAAGCAGATGGGCTTAAGTAGCCACCACCTTTATTTAAACTTTGTGGGGCTTTGTACCCTCCGTGTCCCTGCAGGGAGATTTGCTGTTGCAAAGTCATTGCCAATTGTGGAGGTCAGTGCAGGAAGGATTTAAAAATAAAAAAAAAAAAAAAAGAAAAAGGAAAAGACAAAAAGGCAGAAGAAATCCCAACCCATCTTGATTTTTTGGTCTGTGGATGGAGCAGAGCCTCAGCTGGGAGGCACCAGGGCAGGCAGATGGAAAAGTCAGCACCAGAGCAGAGAATTTGGGGTTTCCTCCTGAACATCCTGTGTTAAATGGGCACCTCCAGTTCATGTGGTGCTTTTCAGCTCGTTGGGATCTGTGGAGCCACGTAAAGGAAATGTAGCAGGTCAGATATTTTGCAGAGTTTTGGGGAGTGGGGGGAGCTGCTGCTTTTTCACAGAAACCCATGGGACACATGGATTAAACAAGTTTTCTGGTGGTCTGGAAAGCAGCTTTGCGGATTTTTTGGTAGGGTAAGAAAGGAGTTGGAGATCTTTGTTCAGCCTCTGCTGTCAGAAGTGATGTTTTTCATGAATAAAGTCGCCATTTAAAGGAAGAAAAAGTGGTTTATGTTTTGGTTTTTTTCCTTCAGCTTTTAGGACGTGCTCTTTATAATCAGCTGAAGTTTTGAAAGGGGAAAAAAAAAGTGGAAATTTTCCTTCCAAAAGGCTGAAACCAGAAAGCATCACAATTGTTGAAATGGGTTTTTCCCAGAGTGTTTCTTCAATGTGTAACATGTGTTTCAGAAGTGACGTGATTTCACAGGCTGTAAAACCAGCAACTGGTCTCATCAAAAAGACATTGCTTCCAGTGGGAATATTTTTAAGGACAATGGGCTGAGTGGCAGGCTGACCTCATTGCAAACCTTTTTGGGTTGGAAAAGTGGAAATTTTTCCTGTTGACTTCCAACCAGCTTTGGTGCTGGGTGAGTGAATGGCAGCGAAAACAAAGAAATAAAGTTAAATAAAGGGGTGTGAAATAAAGGGAAGTGGTAATTCCCTGCTGACACCAGGAGTGCATCCCACAGGTATGGAAAAAAAAAAAAAAAACAACATTTTTTAGGGTTTAGGCTTTGCTGGTGATTTCTGACGTGATGTTTCTCTTTCCATCCCTCAGTGCCATGGCCACCTACTCTGCCACGTGTACCAATGCCAGTCCAGCACAGGGCATGAACATGGCCAACAGTATTGCCAACCTGAGACTGAAGGCAAAGGAATATAGTTTACAGAGGAATCAGGTGCCCACAGTCAATTAACAGCTGGGGGCCTTGCAGAAGGAGAAAACACAACAGCACCCGTCCTGCTTTGCAACAGAAGAAAAAAAAAAGAGAAAAAAAAAACATAAAAAGAAAAGGAAAAAAAAAATTAAAGAAGAAAAAAAAAAAGCCAACCCTCACCCAGAACTGAACATGGGGAGCAAACAGAACCTGTGAGTGATAAGGTTCCTCCTTCCTTTTGGGATAATGCCACCGTTTTGTTTTTTTCTTGTTATCGTCGGGTTTATTGCTTCTGCTCAATATACTACGAGCTTCTTCAGTAAAGGACAGTCTCAGCCTCGCTGGTTTCCATTTTTGTACGGGACTGCAGAAGGAAACCCCTGCCAATCTCAGCTCATGGACACGTGCCACCACCAGCGTGCTGAGATGCAAAGCTTGCTCCTCTCCCCGCTGCCCCAGCTCACCCTAGAAGAAGAATTTGTTTGGTCACCAATTTCCATGATACCCACCCTACCCTCATCCCTCCAGTCCCTTGTGCCACAGAGGCAGCACATTCCTATCAGTCTGCCAGCAGCCCATTCATGCAACAAGATGGATTCCTGCTGTCTTGAGTCGCCTGGAAAACCTCCCTGGGCTCTGCAGGGCTCCATTGTTTTGTTGAGTATTCCCAGCACTGCTGCCTCAAAAAGCCAAAGGAGAGAGCAAAGCCAACGTGGGTGTGTGAGCAGGGGGAGGGCAGCAGGGGGATCTCTGTGTAGTGCCAAGAACAGGACTGTCAGGACACTCCTTTCTATGCCTTACAGTTTGTGCCACAGGGAAAGGCGTTGTCCAGATGCATTTGTTTTATATATACTGTATATATTTATATATATAAGATAATACATGCAAGCTTGGTTGGTGTTTTTTATTAAACAAAATAAAATCCATTGAAAGCCTTCAGGATGTTTGTGCTGCATCCAGGTGGAGCTGGTGCATTGAAATTCCAGCCACAGCCTCCCTCACCCTGTCAGAGCTCTTCCCTGCAGCCTTGGGCAATGCTGGAAAAGGCAATCCTCCCGTGAGAAACCCCAGAGAAGTGGTGCTGCAGGGAGCCACGCTCCTTTGCAGATTTTTTCCCCGTGGGCAGCTTCAGAGGACACAGCAAGGATCTCCCCTGCAGCCAGCCTGGTTCGTGTGGCTCTTGGGAACGTGCAGGGATATCCCCAGGGAAAGGCTCTCAGCATGGAGCATCCCACCCAGGATCCCAGAACACTGCTCAGCAGGGCTTGTCCTGTAACCATTAACCTTAGAACCTTAACCCTTCTCCTACCTGCTGTCCTCCCTCTGGGCTCTGGAGACCTAATCAGGACCTAATTAATTTATCTCCACAAAGAGTAGAGGAGATGCAGCCCGAAAGGCATTTCCTCCACACAAGCACCCTGAGGGAATTAGGATCTTTCTCGTTGCTGGCTCATCCCCTCACATTTGGGGGAGGAGGGGTCGATTTATGACAAATAGCACTTGTGTCCAAACTGAGATGGATTTTGCCATGGAATATTCCCACTGAAGACCACAGAGGTATTCCATGGTCCAGACTGGACCGTGAGGGAAGGAGAATGAAGCTCAGTCATGAGAAATATTTCTGGTAGAGTGGCTCAGATCTGCACCCTGGTGATTGCTGCAGACACACTGGGCATAGGTAGATGTCTGCCAGTGGGCTTTGATAGCCTAAAACAGCACGCTGCAGGAAATGAGGAATCATCTCTTTAAAGTGTAGGTGAAAATTAAACTGGCAGAGGGTGAATGGAAATCCAGCCAAAATATTTGAGCTAGCACAAGGAAAAAAAGCCCCCAAACCAAACTGGAGTAAGTTGTGCCTGTGATTGTATGCATTGATGCTGGATTTTTTTTTCCTCTCTGTGTGGATATTTTTGAGGGGAAAAAAAAAAACCTAATTGTGATCAGGACAAAAAGCTGAAAGTCACAGGCAGAACACCAGGGAAAGGGAGGCAGGGGGAGTTCTGTGCTCTGAGAAATCCATCATGTTCTGTGTGATCGCTTTTCTTGGGCACCTGCAGTTCAGAGAACCTAATGTGTGTAAACCAAAATATTTTTGCCCTGCATAGAGTGGATTCAGCTCCTGGAAAGGCTGAGCTGGAACAGAGACCAGGCAGAGCAAAAGGGATAAAATAGGAATTTATTGAAAGGATTCACCTTGGGCAGTGAAAGAGCCTGGCTGGGGTTACACCCAAATCAAATCCAAGATGGATCCTGGTCACGAGTTTTTACACTTTTATAAGTTCTGATTCATCTGCATATTGGGGTCAATTATCCAACCACAGCCCCGGGCTATGAAGTCTCAGCCCCCTGGCTTGCCCCCTTTCCCTCGCTGATGTTTCTGCTTTTTGGGTACCAGGTGTCCTTGATTCTCCAGCTAAAAGGAATTGTTTTGTCCAACTCCCCTGTGAAGAGAAGTTACCAACACCTAGCATGAAGTTTCAGAGTTACACACTGAGCAGCAGAGATTCTGAAAAATAGAAAAGCTGAAACCCAAGGCATCAGGTCCAGCTCCTGGAGCCGAGTGATCGTGCTGGAAATCTCAGGCTGCACTTAGGAGCTCACTCCTGCTTCCCGTGCCTGCACAAACACACAAACTATTGAAGAATGTGGTCAGGAAGGACCCAGTGCCTTGGAGTAACATCACCCAAAGGTTGAACTGGTTGTTGAGCTGGTGCTCTCCACCCTTCTTGCCTTGCTGCCCTCCTCCACACCCCGCCCCTATCCCAGCAGTGACAGCAGCCTGGATGAATTTCCCTGTGCTGCCCTGAGCCCTCACCCTGCAGTTTCAGCTCTCTCCTTCAGTGTCTCGCTGGCCTGGGGCTTCCCCCCAGTCTTTTCTGCAGTATAAAAAACCACCCTGGGCAGATTTTGTTGTTGTCTGTGTAGGGACATCACTTTGTGAGCTTATCAAGGGGCATGGAGCTCCTGGTGCCCCATTCCCCAGCTGTGGGCTGACATCATCCCCATGCTGTGATGCTCACATGAGGGGGCTCCCAAATGCCTGTGCAAGCCCTTGTTCAGCCTCCTCACTTCATCTGAATTGTCTGGCATGGGTTAGGGTTAGGCTCAGGCTCACACCTCCTGCAGGAAGGCTGTGGAAGCTTCTGCACCTCCAGTTTGGGCTGGGTCTTGCCTTGGCTCAGGCTGCGTGGTCAGGGATGCCACCACATCCTTATCTGACCTGTTGTCATTCAGATGAGACCTTTACATCCCCTCTGGTGACCCAATAGTGCCTTGTTTACGTGGATTTACTAACCAGAGTCCAGCTGGATGAACAGGCAGCTTTTGGTGTTTGTTTCTTTCTTGCTCAGCAAAAAGACAGAGACTTCTTTTCCATCAAGCCAGAGCGAAATGTTAGAGTTGTTTATGTTTAATCTGTATTTTATTAAACCATGTGAATATGTGTGCAAATCGAGGGCCTTGTCCTCAAAGAGTGGAGTTCTCCAGGGTTTCAGTAGATCTCAGTCGTAGCTCTGGGAGGTTGCCATGGTGACCGCGGTTATCATGAAGTTTGGGTACCATCCAGGGGAGAAAATGCGTCTTCAGGCATTTTCCTCTTGCCTACTCTGTTTTCTCAGGCTCATCCTTTCTCAACAGAGGAATAGGTGACTGCTTCCCTCGAGGTGGGAATGCATGGCAGGGATGGGTGACTGATGAGGCTGGATTTCCAGATGGAAGTGTATCCTGTAAATTACCCCTTGCTTTGTGATGTAAAATGTACAGTGTTTGCACTAGAATAGAAATGATCATTTTCAATAAAAGGGGGAAGACACTCCCCAGTCCTTTCTATCAGCTGCCACATCTGTGTCACTGTGTTGCTGCCCTGAGATGTTCTGCAGTGTTGGCTGGGAACTCTCTGGAGCCTTGTAGGGGAAAACAGGAGCTGGTGGGGCTGGGCTTGGGGTCAGGCAGGTTCAGCAGCAGCGTGAGGCAGGAAACATCCACAAAGCCTTTTCCCAGAAGAGATGGAGTTCGGGAAGAGTGGGGACCCATCCCCCTGCACCCCACCAGGCTGGGCTGAATTTGGGGTAGAAGGGGAGGAGAGGGGTCTCCCCTCAGAAAAGGGAGGTGAGGGAGGGATGGGCATCCCCCACTGTGGGTGCTGGGGATGGGTGACCCCAGAAAAGAGAGGAAAAGGGTTGAGTCCCATCACCTGTGCGGGAGTGAACAGAGCAGGGCTCAGCAGGGAAATCCCTCCACTGCAGAGCAAGGCAGAAGGAGCTCAGAGGCTCATTAGGGCTAATTAGTGAGAGCAGGGGTGGGAGTGGTGCTGGTTTTGTCTCCTGAAGAGGTGAAGGCAGGCTGGGGTTGCTGAGCTGTGCTCAGGGTTTGGGTCTCTGCTGGGAGCTGCAATTGGGTGGGGGGAGATGCTGGGGGGCTTCTGCAACTTCCCTTCTTGGTTACCACATGATTAATTCAGATTTGAGCCAGCTGCTGGCAATCTGGGCTGGTATCCTGTTTCCCTGCTGACCCTCCCTGGGCAGCTAAATTTCAGCAGGGCAGACCCTGTTAAGGGGAGATGGGGGTCTCTGCAAGGCCCTTGGCAATCAGCCAAGCTTGCATTCCTTGGAAAGCTGATTACTCCCTGCTCTGAAGCCGAAATAATAATAATAATAATAATAATAATATCACCCTCTTGCTTCTTATTTCTTGGTTGCCAAGAGAAGTAGGCTTGTAAATAAGCATCACTTCCAAGGGGATTGTGAGACTGGAGTGGTTTGGGGTGAGTTGGAACCAGGCTTGGGTGTCCATCCAGACGTGCATCCAGCTCCTGTGAGCTGCATTTGGCCAGGTGTCCATCTCCTGGCCTGGCTCCTCACCTGATGAGCCCACTTTGGTGTGGGTTTCAGTGGGATCACCAAGGAGTGTGGCACGAGCAGGGTGTGGCAGCCCCCAGGTGTGTCCTGGGCATGCCCTGCACACCTGTGGTGTCCCCACCATGGCAGCAGGCACCTGATGGGCTTCATAGCAAAGCCACATCTCCTGCTCACCCCTCAGGGACAGAAAAGTGTCTCCTTGCCTGAGGCTTTGCCCACAGGGACTTTACAGTTCTCCCTTCCCCTTCCTGCCCCTCCAGTGAGA